AATTGTTCTGTCAGTCCTCCACACCTCCCACGTGCTCACGCTCCTTTCATCACAGGCACACACAGCAGTGATAGGACAACTGGGGTGTGTGACATGGTGAGATGCAGTTCTCTGGGCCTTTTCAGTTGACTCATTAACTTTAGAAAAGCAAAGAAAACTATTCATTTACCATTACATTTTCTTAAAAACATGTTCCCCATGGAATAATCAATCTACAATGTAAAGATTTGTTTTTAGCCTCTATACTATGAACTACATGCAACAGGAATGAGGTACAGGATCACAGACTGGTTGTCTTAAACTACCACCTCTATGTGAGGAACTCTGAGATTGGTCTACAATTATGTTTTAAAGCAATTTCATTTCGGGAGGTAGATTTATAAGTCTCTCACTTAAAGGGAAATGTCAGAGTTGGAAACTTACATGCTACAATTTGGCTAGCCTTAACAAGCTCTGGCCTCTTTAGTCTAACAGGTCTGCTTACAGATATACATACACAGTTGACTTTACATAATAATGAACTCTTTCTTTTACAGCCTTATAACTCTTCAATGATTTGTGGTGGCTGTGTCTTCCAGATACAGCTTATATACTTACTATCCCAAAAGGAAAATAGGTTATAAAATACGATAGTGTGCTGAATGTCGTCAGTTCTGTTCATTGAGGGATCACAAAGTAAAATACACATGAGATGAAACACATGGCAATTTACAGTTAGAGAAAGACTGAGACAGTAAAAACTCTAGACTAGAATTACATGTTACAGATTAGAAGTCAAAGGGCTTGCATAAATTCTAGGGGCAGCTTCATTGCTCATTTACTGATTTTTTTTTTTTTTTTTGGGAGAGACGTCATTTAGTCTTGATTGTTTTATGCCACAACCTCAAAGGGTGGCAGTATGGATAAAATAACATATTACAGGAAAAATGAAAATCTAATGAAGAAAAAATGAAGGGCTTACAAGTGAAAACCCAACAGTGCAAAATCACTGTGTCATTTACAGGATCTCTCTGCACAGACATGACCAGGAAACTTTAGCATTTTGTTCTTAGAAAATAATAAAGATCTAGTATTTCAAACTCACAACTGTAAAATTTGCCTATCTTTTCATGTAATTTTTCATAGCAATGTTAAGATAGGGAAATATTACATTTACCATTTATATTCAAAGAAACAGAGACCCAGATAAATTAAGTAACTTTCCTTAGTCTTACACCTAATGAGTGGCAGAACTGGAAATTAAAACTAAGTCTTCTGACCCTCATGCCAGTTCAGTTTCCACCACAAAGGAGAACTCAATTTAATGATAATACACACACACTTTTTTTTTCCAGATAAAAAAGGTCCTGACAATACTTCAAGGCAAATAAGCAGGTAAAAATTTAAAAGAAATTACAAACTTCCATTTGTAAGGTACAATAACATGGCTTTTAACTGGCACTATTGCCAAATGTATTCTAATGAGACTTCTGAGTGTTTTTATATTAAATGCTTAAGAAGATAAAAACTAAGTACACATATACACTGAGTGGCCAGATTATAATGATCTCTGAATACATAATAATCTGGCCACTCAGTGTATTTGCATTTCAAATGGGTACGAAAAGTATTCTAGATTTTTGGTGGAGATCAACCACCTATTTGCCCTGAGCTTTCTATCAGCCAGTGCAAAGGGGAAAACTAATTAGGTGCACGATTTGTAGTATCTTCGATATCAAATAAATGAGGTACTCAAGAGAAGTACACTGAGGGGCCAGATTATTATGCGTTCAGAGATCATAATAATGTGCCACTCAGTGTATGTCCCATTAAACAGAACATATAACATAATTTACACTAAAAAATGATTTGTCGTCTCCCTACACAGTCACCACTATGCTATTACCAAGTTTTACAGTGCTGTGTTTGGGCATAAGGCCTAAAGCCAATAAACTCAGAGCTCTGACTATGATGTGCTTCCTCCTGTCTCCTCAGAGAAAGAGGTGTGTGGGGAAAGCCTTCAAAAATAAACTAATTTCAGTATTGTACAAATTAACTTTTCCATTTTCTTGAAATAAGCCTCTGGTAACAGCACCCACCTTTTCCTAAGAAAAATGCCCTTCCCACACTCAGTCTAGGAAGGAAGTTCAAGTTGGCTGACTCCAGCCAGAACTAGCTTATTGGATCACTGCATTCCCCAGCCACAGTGATTACTTTGGAGTGGAACGTGTGAGTCAACTTAAATTCAATAAGGGGTTTTATGAGAACTGCTGGGAAAAGAAAACCTCTTTTTGATGGTGATCTGATGGCAGTCTCATCACAAGGACAGAACTTGCATGAGAACACAGCAAGAGCAAAGTCTAGCAATAGAGAGAATGGGACTGAGTCTAATGACCTGGCTTCAGACCATGGCTTGCCTGAAGCCACACCTATATTAGGAAAAGTTGTATGGGACAATAAATTTACACTGGTTCTCAAGCCAGTTTGTGTTGAATTTTCTGTCCTTTGTTACACACAGACCATCTATGGAGAAAGAAATATGGAACTCATATTACCAATTAAGTGCTGGTTTTATGGATTTTAAATACTTAATAAAGTAAATAATGTAAAATCATGTAATATCAATTCAATAATACAAAAGCAATCCAAGAAGCAAAGAAATAATTAAGCAGTCAGCTTTTTCATCCTAGAATTAAGGATATTACCTTATGATCTCTAGCAAAACAAAGATGAAACATTTGAGTCATTTATGCTTACATCTCCAAAGCATCCATTTATCTCTCAGAGAACTGCCCTGAGAAATAAACCTGCTGGATTCTTCAAGTTGAAACTCATTAATGAAAATAAGTGTCAATCCTATCTAATAGAAGAATGATATGCAAATTAACCACCACTCCTCTACAACCATAAGCTATGCCCACCAGCCATGCCCACCAGCCAATCAGAAGCAAATATGCAAATAAACCCAACCAAGATGGCTGTGGCCACAAAGAGCAGGAGGGAGGCTTGGGTTTCCCCAGCAATGGAGAAAGCCAAGCTTTCCACCTGCCCTTGCTGGCCCAGGCCTCCACTTAAGGCTACAAAGTTTCAATTATAGAAGATACATAAGTCCTAACAGAAATGGCTGCCACCACAGAACAAGCAGAAGGCTTGGCTCCGCTCCAGGCTACAAAGTTTCAATTGTAGAAGATAAGTAAACCCCAGCTACCAGGGCCTATGCTTGGGTTGCCAGGGGGCGTGGCTGGCCTGAAAACCACCACAGGCCCCTTGCCCAGGCCGCCTCACACCCCAAGGAAACTTCCACCCTGATTCGGGACATCCTTCAGGGCAAACCAGCCAGCCTCCACCCATGTACCAGGCCTCTATTCTATCTAATAAAAGAGTAATATGCAGATTGACCACCACTCCAACACACAAGATAGCTGCCCCCATGTGGTCAAAGATCCTGCCCCCATGTGGACACAAGATGGCCACCACAAGATGGCCAGCAGGGGAGAGCAGTTGGGAGGGACCAGGCCTGCAAGGCAGGGCAAGTTGGGGGCGATCAAGCCTGTAGCGGAGGGCAGTTGGGGGTGACCAAACTGGCAGAGGAGGTAAGTTGGGGGCGATAAGGCCTGCAGGGAAGGGCAGTTGGGAGGGATCCAGGCCTGCAAAGGAGAGCAGTTGGGGGGGGGACCAGGCCTGCAGGGGAGGGCAGTTAGAGGCAAACAGCCTGGCAGGGGAGCAGCTAGGCATCAATCAGGCTGGCAGCAGAGTGGTTAGGGGGTGATCAGGCTGGCAGGCAAAAGTGGTTAGGGGCAATCAGGAAGGCTGGCAGGTGAGCAGTTGGGAGCTAGCAGTCCTGGATTGTGAGAGGGATGTCCAACTGCCCATTTAGGCCCAACTCCCATGGGATAGGGTCTAAACGGGCAGTCAGAGATCCCTCTAGGAGTCTCAGATTAGAGAGAGTGCAGGCTGGGCTGAGGGACACGCCCCAGCTATAGTTATACAATAATACTTTTAACTAATAGCAAAAATTCTACACTTCGACCAGCCATAGCAGTCAACATTAATAAAATCAACTGGCTTAAGTCTCTAGTTAATCAATTGCTTATAAGTGAGCGTAAGAAGGCAAAATTAACTAAAAGACTGTTTTTCCTTAGGAAGTAGTATTACTTGGATAGAAGAAAAATTCATTTTCAAAATTTTCATTTAAATAGCCATTTGGAAACCTTCAGTAGGAATAAAAGTAGGACTGAAACAAGGTCCTGGCATCTGAAATCATTCTGCATTGAATACAACCTAAATTACAGAAGTGATCCTCATATTAATGTTTTAATATGCCATATATATACACACACACACACACACACACACACACCCAGTTGACCCTTGAACAACATGGCAACATGTAGTTTGAACTACACAGGTCCACTTGTTGGTGGACCTTTTCCCCAATAAATATTATAAATGTATTTTCTCTTCTTGACATTTTCTTTTGTCTAGCTTACTACACTATAAAAATGTAGTATATAACATAAAAAGATATGTTAATTGACACATTTTTATATTATTGGTAAGGTCAGCAGTGTCAATTAGTAATTATCTTTTGGGGAGTCAAAAGTTACACTGATTTTCAACGACACAGGAGGTCAATGCCTTAACCCCCAAATTGTTCAAGAGTCAACTTTACAGAAATGTAGAAAAGGCAAAAATTATGTTTTTTGTGTGTTCTTACTAAAAATGCTCTTTCAGATTATACAAATGAAATTTATGACAGAATTATTTTTCTATGTCTCACTGAAAAACAGATAGAGAAAAACAACCAACCACACACACAAAAAAAAAATTCACAATTTCAAATCATTCCCATTAAATATTTCTTAGTGGAAAATCTTGAGGTGGATTTTAGAGAAGGCATTATTACTATGCATTACTGACAGGTCACATCAAAATACTGTTTGCATTATTTCCCAGTGATGCTATAGAGTAAACTGTGCAAGTCTACACGCTAGAGAAAAATGTGTAAAAGGAACACCCACATGAACATTTACCTTCCACTGCTCTTTTGAAGAACACTTTGCAGCTGCCACAGGTTACCACCCCGTAGTGGCAGCCTGAGGCCTCATCCCCACACACCAAACATATCTTGGAAGGTCTTGAGGATCCAGTAGAAACACTTCGTAAAGTAGAGCTGGGGGAAGAAAGAAAGATTTAAATAACTATACTATAATGACACCTTTGATATGCTGTACAGCTTAGGTCAAACGTTATCATAAATCATGGTTCCATAGAATAATTCAGTATGTACTGGTCACATATAAGGACTTACACAATGAAGGTAAACTCTATCAGTGGAGTCATGCTATCAACCATTCTGTAGAGCAAAGCCTCTTCTCAGTATCAAGAAATAATAAACAACCACCATTTAAGTTGCTTTCTTCCTGTCCCTGTTTTCAAAAAAAGTTTACCAAAAATTTACCGTATATTCAAGGTGGACAGGAAGAAGAGTCTTGAGCTGAGTCATCATGAAAAGTATTTTTTGGCATCAAAGAACAATTATAATATTTCTCAACTCTCTTCACCCAGACTCACATTATATATCTCAATTATGCCAGTTTAAAAAAAATAAACACACAAAAAAACCAACTCCTCTTTCCAAAACAATCCACTAAAATTAAAAAAAAAAAAAATCTTGTTTCTACCGCCAGCAATTTGACCCCTCCCTTGAAGCTTCTGCATTTTTTCCATATTACCTTGCTTAGGTATATTCCAATTACCTCATTTTGCTTACTAGTTCAAAGGGACACAGTCAATATATTTTTAAAGCCATATATGGTAAATAGCTCAAGTATCTTTCAAGTAAGAAACTGATAGGTTCTGGGCAATAGCTTTTAGGGGCAAATGTAACCCTTTAAGCAGCAATCTGTATAATATATTTAAAAAAGAAAACATATATATATATATATATATATATATATATATATATATATAGTGTAAGTTAATAGCACAGTCTGAACAACACATTTTCAATTCTAATAAGGAATCAATTCTGTGACTGTTTAGATGTGCATTTTTTTTTCAATCTAGCTACCCATAGGTGCTGAGTAAAGTAATGAAAAAATAAATATATAAAAAACCACCCAGGTTGTCCTCTAAGATAGTGGGTATGTGGACCAGTAGAGTCCGTGCCATGGTGTGGGGTAGTGTGGTGGCACGTGTGGGCTCAGCCTCCACGCCGGAAAGGGTGGGAACAGACTAGTCAGAGAACATTTCCGGAAAGGTGACAGCAGCCCTGAGATTCAGAGCAGCACCAGATGACAGCCAGACCAGGAAAGAGGACAGAGGAAGCAGTAAGTGTGATGGCGCAGAGAAATTCTAGCTGGACATGCCCAGAAAACTCTGGGTGGATTGTTATGTCACCGCCTCCACCTTCCTGTAGGGCATTTGTGTTCATGTGAACCAGTAGGCATGTGGTTAAAACAAAAAAAACAAAAACCAAAGAAAATATACCAAAAGGATTGAATAGTTGCGATACATTATTTCTGGGTTTCAAATTAGCAGAAAATGTAATAATATTGCCGTGATATTTAAAACAACAACAACACAATTTTAAATGTTTAAACTCCAATTTCACTAGAAAAAGATGAAGGAACAAACTACTCAGCTGCTCAGAGCACTGTAGCATGACCAGCTTTCTAGAAAATGACTTCTTAAATCAAGGGCTGAAACAATGTTTTCCAAAGTTGTTTCTCCTTCTGAGAAAAGAGCTTTTTATTATTTTTATTACTGTCCTTTGACTTCTTTATGGCATTCAAAACATTCCATTTCAGCACCAGTGCCTTCTTTAGCATGTCAGCCAGTAAAACTCAATCCATACTCTGACTACCTCTCTTACGTTTCACAGGAAAACACGACTTTGTAAACATTCAAAATTTAAGTTAAAATCATCATTAAAGTGTAATTATGTGTGTGTGTTTTTCTCACAACTACAAGCATACATGCGGTTTGTATTTAACATTCTTGTGTGCCTTGGTTTTGGTCCTGATACTTAATAGTCTTCCCTTCAGTCTTTGGCACTCCCTCTTCTATTCAAACTCACTCACTTGGTGATCTCATTCCTCTCAGCTCTAAATATCATCCATTTACCTTGGACTTCCAAATGTTTATCAGCAGCGCAGACTCCTCCCTGGAATTTGAGACTCATTCATGCAACTGCCTGTTGGACGTTTCCGATATGCACCTCAAACTTAATATGTGCACAACTTTGCTGACCTTTCTCTGCCTCCAAACCTGATCTTCCCACAGACTTGCTCAACTCAGTTAATGACAATGGTTATGGGATGAATTATGTCCTCACTCAAATTCCTATCTTGAAGTCCTAGATCCTAGGAACTCAGAATGTGACCTTGTTTGGGAATAGGGTCATAGCAGATACAATTAGTTAGTGACAATTAATGAATGAGGTCATTCTGGAGTAGGGTGGATCCCTAATTCAATGTGACCAGTGTCCTTTTTAAAAAGGGGCAATTGGGACACAGACACACACACACACACACAGGGAAAATGCTATGTGAAGATGATGAAGGCAGAGATGAAGCCAGGGATGCTTTCACAATCCAAGGGCTGCCAGAAAATACCAGAAGCTAGGAGAGAGGCACAGAACAGATTTTCCATCACAGCCTTTCAGAAGGAACCAATTCAGCTGACACATTAACCTTGGACTTCTAGCCTCCAGAGCTACAGAATAATGAATCTCCCTTGCTTTAGGCATCCAGTTTAGATTGTGGAATTTTGATATGCAGCCCTACGAAACTAATACAGCAACTTGGACTCACCCCTGACTCTCCTTTCTCTCACACGGCACATTCAATCTGTTATACTTAATCCACTTTACTCTCAGAATACATCCAGATTCATTTCACTTCCCACAATTTCCCCTGGTACTACTCTAGTCCAAACTATCAACACCTCCTAGCAGATTTTGTTTCTCATCGCCCCCTTTCTCCCATGTAATAGAAATGAACCTTATTCACTCATTTGCTCAAAACCACCCACGGACTTTCCCTCACACTCAAAGCGGAAGCCAAAGCCATCTCTATGACCACAGGGCCACAATCCGGCCCCTGAGATGTCTCTGATCTCTCGCTTACATATTGCACAGTGGCCTCCTTACTAGCCTTCAAAACACAACACCTCAGTGCCTTTGCACTTGCAAACCCCGCCCCCCCACACACTAGATATTCACACACACACCCTATATCCACACAACCCCCGCTCTCATCTCCTTCTGGGCTTCATCAAACAACACTTTCTCCATCAGGACTTCTTCACTGACCACTCTACTGACAGACCCCTTCCTTCGGCAGCTCTCCCTCTTACACGTTCTGCTTTAGTTTCCTTCTTGGTACATATCACCATCTCACATGTGGTACAGTTTGCTTCTTCTGGTTTTTTATTGTTGACCTCATCACACAAGAAAGGAAACCCAACAGGGGCCAGGGTTTTCTTTGGTGTTACTCACCACTGTGTATGGAACTGTACCTGGTACCCAACAGGCACCTAAGAGACACTCAACTAAATGGGCGATTTCCACTAAGTGGCATCATCACAGCAATCATCATAAAACCCACCACGGCATCAATTCTGAAGGCGCACTGCATTCCTTACATAAAGAAATGTGATTTGTTTTTAACTGTCTGGAGTATGACATGTAGCAGAAACAAAGTAAGAGCAATTGAAGAGAAAGTCTACGTATAAAAAAGGTGAGAAATCCAAATGAAAGCAACATATTTGCTTAATTATAAAATTAAAACAAACATGGATTATTTTTCCTTCTTATTCACCAACGTATTTCAATGACAAAAAGGGAAAATTTGCTCCTAACTGCCTTTCATCAGTGCCTCCTTCAATTTCTGGAACATTCTCCTAATGCCTCCTTTATTTTATAGTCTCTTATTTTCTTGATCACCAATACAGACTTTCTTAGGAGTTCTCCTCCTTTTGACTGTCTTTCTTCTTTCTACATTCTATCTCTTAATGACCTCTTTCACCACCCAGCTCAAATAGCTCTCCTGGTGACTAACTTTCCAGATCTTCACACCCAGCTCTCGCCTCTTCCCCATGTTCCAATGTCATGTTTTCATGACCTTTACAACAACCTCTCTGATCCATGTTTTATCAACTTCTGGAAGACTACTGCCATCTTGCTAGTCACCAGGTTCAAGCCTTAGACCCCCTCCTTAACTATCACATTTAATCAGTCACCAAGTCCTGAGCACTCCAGCCTTGCACACTCTGACATAGCTTTCACCACACAGGTGGTACACTGCTTCAGGCTCAACACCTCCAAAGGACTCTTCCTTAACCCCAGCCTCTCCTCACTCCATTCCATAGTGGCAGACAAATGCGTGTCCCGCTAAAGAGTTCTGACTCTATTGTTTCTCAGCTCAGAAATCTTCAATCGTCCTTACCAAATTCCATCATAGGATAACCTTGGTAGCACCTTTAATTACCTCCTCCTAATCACCTTTCTCCTGCAGGTCCTCTCCTACTGCCTGACCTTGTGCTCGTCACACTCCAACATCCCTGTCAAGGTGTGGATGCCACCATATACATATTGGAAACCCTGTCCATCCTTCATGGATCTGTAACATTCTCCAGCAGGGAGCACCACTGTCCTGTTGCCTGATTCATTTGAGCATCTGGCTAATGCCTCCCCTCCAGCAGTCATCACTTTTTCCCTTTACATTAGTGACCTGGGCACTTATCCTAATTCCTTGAGGGCAGAAACCATGTCCTATGCATCTCTGGGCTCTCTGCTGCCATTAGGGCAGCACTGATACTATTTATTGAATGAATGAAGCTGCACTCCTAATCGCATTACAGTAGAACATAAATTTCTAAAAGGAGATTTTATAGAAAGTCAGTTAATCAGGCCAAGGTTACAGGTTCAATTCCCATATGGTTCATTTTACTTTGCACAGAGGAATGAAAAAAAAAAATCCAGGGACACAGACTATTCTCAAAAGCTCAGCCAGCTGTCTCATGGACATACACATTATTATCACACGAGAGTCCACAGACTGTGGGTGGGGCGGGAAAATTCCAGTTTCTACTGACATCCTACCATGTAGTTATCTTTGAAATTGATTGACCTGTAAGGATTTTACTTTGGCTGCTGTGTGGAGAACGGACTGTAGGAGTGGGTGTGTTGGAAGTGGAGAGATGAGACAAGATCCTAAAGTTATCCAGGCAGGAGATGAGAATGGCCTTGAGTACGCATCAAGTAGTAACAACAGTGAGAAGTGGCTACAGTAGGAATAGGTGTGTGTGTTTTTTTTTCTTCTTCTATTTTTTTCAAGCAGATAGCATTGAGAGGGCTTGCAGGAAATTTGCACAGTAGTGCTATTAATTAACATGCAAAATTGGGGAGTTTGTTTTGAACTTGTTAGTGTTAGAACACTATTGCAAAATATTTTTGTAAATAAAATAACCATAAGATTAAGTTACAAGCTACCCAAAGAAAGCACTTGGGGCAATATATACCAGTTTTACTTAAGCTCTCTAAGCCAGTTTCCTCATCAGTAGTGATAACAAAGGTCCTACCATACAGGGTTGCTATAGATTAAATTATTCACTATATGTAAGAGCCCTGAGAACAGTGTCTAACATATTAAATATTCTTTACAATATGACAATTATTAGAATTACTGTTGTATCTGTAATTCTTAACAGTGACTGCCATAATTGTTAAACTGCAGGTAATTCTACCTTTCCATATTATATTTTATATGTTGCTTTTAATTTATATAAGCATATAGAACATTGGAAAGCACCAGAAGAAAAGGGTTTTAAAAATATACTATGACATAGTGGTATTTCAACAGCCATAGTGTTCACTTACTGTACAGGCAATGTTTTGTGTGGATATGATTTGAGCATTTCTGGTAAGAATTCTGGCTCCCCTGGTGTCTGCAGAGTATAGGTTTGGAACAGCCACATTAAATCACTAGGATAAACAATTATTGAGGTTCAAATACATACTCTTCTATATAAAGAACACTAAACCTAAGAAACATGAGAATTTGGAGAATACTCAATATAAAAAAATTCACAATATAAATCAATGTTTAACAAAAACATTTCTTATTTTACCCACACATAAAAACAAACAAACAAAAAAACCCCACAAAAAACCTCGTTGGTATTATGTTTGCTGATAAGTGAATCATTAATGTTTTAGGGGACAATTTCTCACTCAATAAGGACCATCATCTCAAACCCAATTAATAAGGCACCACAGAGAGGAATTAAAGAGCTGGCACTTATTGTAATAATCTTAGCTATATGGGTAAAGTTATAACTAAAGTTAGCAGATACAGAAAATTCAAGGACATAACTGGCTTGGAAAATATAATTTAAAGCACAGCAATGGCTGATTAGTCTTTTCCAATTTACTTTCTTTGTTTGCTTTCACAACAGTTTATACCATTAATAATATTTATTAAAGTGGCTCTGTTTAATGAGGTATGTACTTTCTACACTAAATTTCACTTAAATGAATGCAATTTGACCATCAAGGACTCAAAGTTATAATTAAGAAAGCAAAGCTGCAGCCCAGCAGATAAGTATCCTGACACAGAGCTAAAAGAAAAAAAAGGGGGGGGGGGGCGGGGCAGGGGGAATACTTTCTATCATAAGAAAATGAAGCCCACACTAGTATGTGTAGAATTTTTCTTAAAAATATGGATCTATGTTAAGAGGTCATTCAAATAATGTTTTCTCCATAAACATAAGCTATGGCTAGAGAGGTGAGCATTTGATAAAATATGTAAAATCTATTTTTTTGGAAAATATGCAAAAACATTTAAATCTAAATGTTTTTTAAAGAAATATTTTTATTGATTTCAAAGAGGAAGGGAAAGGCAGAGGGAGACAGAAACAACAATGATAAGAGAGAATCACTGATCAGCTGCCTCCTGCAAGCCCCCTACTGGGGATTGAGCCTGCAATCCTGGCATGTGCCTCGACTGGGAATCAAACCCTTATCTCCTGATTCATGGGTTGACTCTCAATCCACTGAGCCACAGTTAAATGAATTTTCTAACAAAACAAGGGAAATAAACAATTTAACTACTAGGTACTTTGTTACTAATGAGTTGTTTTAATCAATCTATTTTTATTAAATGCAAGCTATGTGAGATTTCTTCTGAGACTACAAGGATAACAAATGGCCTCTATGCTCAATGAGTTTACAGTACAGGAGGGAAGCTAAGACCTGGAGATTGGTAAATATTAAAGTCACTAAGTGCTAATCACCCATAGTTTAAAATAAATCAGAATTCCAAGAAAGTCTGATAATTTGCAATTGAGTTGAAGGAAAGTTGTGTGGAGGAACAGAGCAATGGAATTAGTCCAGACCATGGCAAATGCTCTGGGATCCATCAATGGATCAGCCGCCCTCCACAGGCATGAAAAATGGTCCAAATCACAGAAGGTCTCTGACACCAGCTGAAGTATTTTGAGATAATTCTAGGATAATCTAGTGAGCAACTGAAAATGTGGCAAGGAAAATGAAGAGAGATAGGTAGAAAATTTAGCACATTAAAGGACATAATTAAAGTTATTGATCACAATTTTAAATACATGCAATACAGACAAATGAAAGCAAAAGGGTCTGATGAACTGCAAGACAACTAACTTGACCAAATAGGGAAAGCGCAAACAAACAAACAAACAAAAACAACAACAACAAACCATGTACTATAAGAGAGAGATTGGGACTTACCTTTTATGATAGATTATTCTTAGAGAACAAAGATTCTAGATTTTATGCATGGAAAATGAATGGATGAGCTCACTGAGGGAAAAGTTTAAATAAGGAGAAAACAAGGTAATAGATAGAAATATACAGAAAACTAGCATTTCTGCTGAGGTGGTGTCTGGGCAGGGGGAGGGATGAACTCACTCGTCAGTCTAAGGAAGAAAAACCAAAGAGGCAGGAAGGCAAGATAATGCAGAATCTTGGAATCAAAGGGATGGGTGAGAGATTAACAGTGTCAAATGCCACCAAGAGGACAAGACTTAAGGCCATTGGCACACCTGACCTTAGCTATGGTCATTTTTATGCATATATAAGATTCATATGTAAGCCATATTAAAGTGGAAAGCACTCGCCATCTTTTTATTAAGGAATTTCCATATTCAAGGAAGTTGTCTTCATAAAACTATATCTAGCATTACCGTTTAAGCATATGCAGTCTCAAAAAAAAAATCTAACATCAAATCATCTCCAGAAACCTTTATGGAGCACGATATGCCAATCAGTGGTTGCTAAGACAATGGCCAAATATGGGTGCTAAAAAAAAGCCTCTACACTCTAATTTGCCCGTGCAATCATTAGCATGTGTGAGTATATTTATATACATTAGTTGGTTAGAATCCTCTGAGAAGGAATCATGAACTTACTACATCATCTGTGGGTTAGCACGTTATAAAGTATATTTTAATGACAGTGACTTTTGAAATGTCCTATATATACTAAACATGATTTAACTTTCCCGGTGAAGAGTAACTCTCCTTATGTTAAGATGTAGACATAGATGCTAATTCAGATGGCATGAGATACTGAGTGCTGATGGGTTCTAGTTCTAACTGGGGACCTTGAACCTGAGTGATTTAGAAGTTACTAATTTCAGCATGTTATTTGTTTACCATATTTTCAAAAAGTTGATCTAAAATATGCTGCACCATGGCCTCTCTGAGCTACAGAATATGGCTTCTCTCTATCAATTTAATTAATGAGTCAAAGCTCCAAATAGCTTTTTCCCTGATGGTTTTCCTGCATTCCAGAAATAATGCCTTTACTGCCTCTGGTACTGCTCTCTGATTCCCAAACTCCATTCTCACTGCTGCTGGCTGACTCCTACATAAAGTCACAGGGGCTTTTGTATCAACTCATACCCTCCTTTCTTCCTGCCTTATACTAAGTCTGTTCCTGTAGGATAAAGGGATAGTGTTCATTATTTCAAGAATTTACATGTGAGAGGTTTAGAGTAGCCAATTCCAAAATTTATAAATGAAGGACATCAAGGGCAATGTCATGGTACTTTTGTCAACATTGACACCTACCACATTTACTTCAGACTTACTTCAACTCTGACTTTGAGTAGAGTTATCACCTTCAAAAATTAAACACGGCATCTTAATATGACAAATTCCTAAAGAATGCTTATATTAAAGGGGTTAAGTAAATCTGTTCATTAATACTCAGTTTTTGAATAATCAATGAGCTATCACTTGAGAGAAAAACTGTGGAGGGAAAATCCCAAGTTAGAAACTTATTTTCTTAGGGTTAATTCCATAATTGTGAAATAATATCAGAGTTTTCCGGTCAGTTTAAAACTCTGAAATGATCTTTCAGTGAAGGTATAAAAATATCTTTCCCATTCACACATTAGCTTCCAAACATGGCCCTTTTCAAAATATCAATGAATTTTTCAAGTCACCCACAGGGTATTCTAGATGGGAGCCTCCCGTATAACCGTGCACACAAAACAGCAATGGATGCTCATCCTGCCTAAAGGCGGCCTCACTTGCACTGGGCTCTGGCTGCAGGCATCACGAACAGAATGGCTTTGTCAGAGCTGCCAAAGGCCGCTCAGGGGCAAGGCCAGCCTCACTCGGAATCTCGGGAAATAAGGTCTGCTTGCACACACACTGAAGGGGAAACACGTATGCTCACACATACAAAAATCTGCAGGGTCAAGAGCTGCTCTTCAGGCATTTTTCATAAAAAATTCCCTCTGAAGAAAAGGGCAGCGGCTTTCAGCCAGAGCAACCAGAGGGCACTGGAGTCAGTAGATTTTAGATGACTTAAGTTAAATTCAGAGGTACTTTTTCCACCTCACATGATATCCTCCAGCACGGAGGAAGCAATACTGTATGTTCCATCAATGGCTGCCTATGCTTACCGGTGAAGTGCCCTACAGTGCCTCCTTTTCAAATTCTCCTGCTAACGCACAGGTTGGAGGATTAAGTCACATAGGAAATTGCTTACTGTTTTCCTTCTGCTTTTGATCTGCAAAATCAGGACTTGCTAAGGTTTCTTTTAACCTAGCCTTTGGCATGAATGACAAAACCAGGGTCTGCCCTAGAACAGCATTTAAAATTAAACTCAATGGGATGACCACTCATATTCCGTGGGCAGAAGCATGCTCTGCTAAGGACGGGGTCTCAGGCCTTCAATGCTATTCAGAGGGCGGAGGTGCTGTTATCCTCACCTCCCACCGCTGAGTTCCTTCCACCACCACCTTCTCCACCAGATGTGGCTATTGTTTTTAAAATTGTGATTGCTGTCATATACTATCCTCATTTTTTTCTGATCAATTTCATTATTCATATTAGATTAAAAAAATAATTTAATAATCCAAACTAGGTATTTACGTTCTGAGTTGGTGTGAATAGAACAATGAGAGGATCCTGAGTACTTTCTTGGAGGTCTTTATTTTTCTTAGGGTTTGAGGTTTGGGGATGTATCTTCAATTTCCTCCCACTAAAAATATTTGAAACCTAAGGTTTTAGAAAGGGTGTTCGTTGGCTATCAAACATTGTACACACACTTGTGCTAAGACACAGCCACTAACGAAGTGCTGTTCCATGAGCCCAGTCCAAAGGTACATAAAAACGCAGTCCTTATTTTATTTCATTGGTTACCATCTTTGTCAGATATCTTGAACTCTACCTTACTTTTAAGAAAAAAAAATTAAGAAAAGGAAATATCTACTGAATACTCTTTCTCTTCCTCATTCCCTTTACCTCTTTTTCACCTCTCTCGCCCTACTTCCTGTTCCACACTCATCCATATTTTGGCTTTGAGGAAAAAAAAAACAACACAAAAAAACCTACCACTATTATTAGAGGCATGGGTATTCCTTATTAGCGCAAACATTAAAACTTAAATATTTCTTTTAAATTAAAAGGACCAGATAGGTATTTGCTGGCAGTCAA